GTCATGGGTGACATGACGGTAATATAACTGTCACGTAATGAGGATAACAACGATGCTCGATTGTCAACATCACTGATGCAGTCTGCTGTATGGACTTCTGAACAACGCAAACGCTCCGGAACGGGACAAACATTCTGTCCACGGCTAACATTTTACATCCATCCCTTGAAAGGACTTAAAAAGACGCTGAATGGCGGAGAACTGCTCAAGATCGAACAGCTTGGGAAAACGCTGTAACAACCGTCTGCAGAACTCGGCCTCTACTATCTGCAAATGACCAAAGAGAGACACGAGAGACCCCTGAATGGTGAGTAACCGGGTGAAGGGGAGGAACTTGTTTGACAGGTGTGTATCCTTCCATCGTCTTGCGTTTAATTGCTAAGCCACTATTGGACTATTTTTTTCAAGTCTTTTCCTCATCAGACCGAAAAAGCCTTCCAGGCTGAGCCCACGGTATGAGACTCTGTTACCCATCGTTGAGACCATGCGCAAAACAAGCGCTAATTTCTCAACAACTGCAAAAGCTAGAGAGAAACTTTCAACACATTTATATCACAAGATCATAACAGTTCTGCCGAATTTAAATCAAGGTAAGGGCAACAACTTAGAGTTTCCGATTACTGTGAATCCTCAGGAATGCTTAATTAACTGGCTGATCGGATTATGCAATGTTAATCCGGTTAGATTCGCAGAGATGCGACGGAATTACCGAGTTTATGATGCGGTTTACACAGTAGCACTTCCGATAGGGGTTGTTTAGTGATTCAAAGATCACTTCGCTGTTCATTTTGTTCGCCAGCATTTACAAATTTACACTGAAACAATTTTAGACAGCTTGATTCCAATATGCTCTTCGTATGCCAAAGCTCAGTGCCACAAGACCGTGTCTGTTGATACAAATTACGTTTCGCCTAATCCGGCGAAAACACAAGTTCCTTCCTAACTGCTGACGCGTTACGGAAAGCCTTACGAGAACACCTTCACACTTTCTATTATTTAAACAACAATCGGCATGGTAAATGAGTTGTTACAAACATGACATTCAGTCATTGTCCACTTGAGTTCTAAATATTATAATTTGGTCACTGAATACCACCTGTACTCGCAAATACAAAGAAAGCTTTCACACGTTAAGGTTTTAATCACAGACACGACACAATAATATTATGAAATAACCTGAGAGAGAATTACACGGCAGAGTAAATAACCTCTTCCGGAGCAGACGACCATATGTCACATCGGAGATTAACACCCTATCGTATTTTAATTGTCCGTAATTAACAAAGTACTTTAAATAAACACGTGCACCATTCAAAGAGGCCGTTGGGTAAACAACTCTATAGAACATATAAATTCACACATCAACTGCTAAAGGCACTTGCTGTGCTCTTTCTAAGGACTTAAAGAGTTTTAAACCCATAGTTCAAGAAAACAAAACTTTGCCCATTTAAATTAATCCATCATTTGCGGTTGACAGCATGACATACAGGTATTAACAAAGATAAATACTGGAGCAATTTCAAGCGCCTGCTGGCCATCGGAAAAACTCTTATTTTGGGCTAATTTCACACATGAGCAGCTGTGATATTTTATGACAGCAAAACACAGTTTCGCGTGGCCTTGAGTGTAAAACAATAAATGGGCTTTGGCTGGCTCTGTTTCCCTCGGATAATGTGACTTTGGTCGCTAGGACTGAAAATCTCTTAATAACGAAATCAAAGTGGCAGTGGGCCACTGAACTCGGACAATTAATAATTATTATTATCATTTTCTTTCTTTCTATTTTTCCCCTTTTTCCTTTACTTTTGTACCTTCTTTTTACAAAAGTATAGGATTTTCGCGTTTAGCCCGAAACATCTCCAGTTATTGAGCAGTAATTCGCATTTAAGAAGCTAACTCCCGCAGCGCAGTGTTTGTCTCGCCTTCTCCTGCTTTTGAAAAACGATTTAACTGAAAGGTGTACTTAGTATGCCCTATCATAAAACAAGCCACTTGTCCCTGGGATCTGCTACAGTTACGGTGGATCAGGAAAATGTACTTCCTGAAAATAAAAACTGTACACTTTCTTCAGTTACGTCTGTCCTGACAAAAATGTTGCTTTTTTTCATTACTCTAGATGGCTGCGAAAAGCAGAGAGGTAAGAAAATAGATTTTCTTAGATACCGTTTTTCATCAACAACTGACCTAAACAAAAAAGCCAACATTCTAGCTAAATTTGAAATGAATGAGAGTTCTGATAGCTTCTGTGATAAACGTACTTCATCGCAATTTCAATTTTTTAAAATAATAGGGAAATTATTTGTCTTTCTGGTTTACAGGAGACAAATTTAGATCCGATGAGACCAACATATGTATATTTCTGTACACTTATAGAGTGAAGATTCAAGTTCTTCTGATGGAGATGAAGAAGGAAAGGAGTGAGTCTATTTCGGGAGCCAACATGTCTTTACGAAAATTTATTTATTTCCCTTTGTTGAAAACCAGAGTGACACCGTGGTTGATGCCCCAACAATAATACCTGGGTTTTGGTACAATTTGGTGCTTTGTTTAGAGGTTAACTACCAATGACCAAACACCGGGATATCCTTGTTTTATTGCCTAAAGGCAATGTCTCGTCATTCTTGTCGAGCACCCAGTTTTTGGCTACGCAGTTTAGACAATGTACCAGCATCGACACGGGTGATACGAAACAGTGAACCCTGTTCCCGTACCTACTAGCACAGAAATGACACAGGTTCAAGAAAAAAAAAGAAGAAACTTGTGTTGAACGGAAAATAAGAGTTTGTTCCCCATGCCATCAGATAGTTAGATCATAACTCGAAAATTTGTTCTCTATATCAGGCTAATCTTAAAAGTTGGCAGCCTAAAAATGTACCTCAATTTAATACAAAACGTTGACTTTTCTAGAAATAATTCCAACAGCGACTCTAATCAAAGTAATCAATCAAAGTTTTTAATATCTTTACGTGGGACATGATTACCCATATTGCCCGAACCAGAGGCTCATGTATGAAACGCAAGACAACAACCCACCCATACCACCCCAGGGGAGGGGCATCCATCACACAGTAATCTCGTGCGTGGGAAATTAACGACTCCTACCCCTAACCCTGCAGGAGACGAGACCTCCATTTATTCGTCACTATTCCAGAAGACTAGAATGTCTAAACCATTCCTTGATGTTATAGAAAGGCAGCATATTCTTCTCAATTATTTTAAGACCTTTAGTGTTGGTCCGGCCAGGGCTCGAACCCTCGACCTCTCGCATATCAATCCAGCGCTCTATCCATTGAGCTAACCGGGAGGCGGTAAATTTTAGGTTTTAGATTAAGTAATCTAAATCCACGATTCTCCCCTCGTAACCTTGTTTATTACAATGATTATATTCTAAATGTCACAGAACACCTCAGCAGCCTGATCAAACAGAAGACGAACAAGGAATACTCTTGCAAGGCAACAACAACAGCACTTCCGATGGTTTGGGAAATGATAGTCGAGTAAGTGTTGCAGACAAGCTTGTACAAGCTTCTCCAATTGAGTATCCTCAGTGAAAGGTCTTTATTGACTGTCGAACTGCCTCTGAGGCATCAACTTAGAGTTGAGTATTACCACCTTCAAAGTTAACGCTATCGATTCGATCGGAACGAATAATGATTAAAAGACACGTATTTCAAATGCATTGTTATCTTCCTACAGATTAACAGTAACGTAGCAGATCAGCCGGCTCTGATGGAAGCAAAGTAAGTCATATACTCCTTACAACCACCACAAACCTTAGGTAATGCACACGACCTTTAATTCCCACAATTCTGATTAAAATGAATGCAAATAGCAAAACAGATGTACTTTAATATTTTGCAGCATCAAGGACGAAGTCCTCCAAGGATGTGTGCCGATCAGAGCCTTCAATGGGGTAAGAAACTTAAAAAAAGCAAGCCAATGAACAATAGTTTTGTTCACACTTCAAAAGAAGAGAAAAGAAAGGAAAAAATAAACAATGAGCTTGACCAAGCTGACCTAAATGGAAATCAAGTTGTCTTGTGAAAATGCAAGAACAAATACTGGAAACAAAGGAAAAAATGTGAAAATTGAGCAAATCTTAATTCTCATTTCCCACTTTAGATACTGTACATGCTAGAAAAACTATTCAAAAACAATAAGTTAATAAAAACTGGAAATGAGACGCGCTTTAATTTTTTCAAATGAACTTAACGCATACGTTCAACAACTGCTGAGATCCCACGAAGAAATATAATGAGCTTTTTTTCCTATTCTCCTTTGAAAGCATTGTGAACCTCAAGTGCTAATATGTGAAAGACGCACGAAAACTCGAGACCTGAACACACATCTCGGGGTTTCTGTTATCTAGAACTAGTCGTCGCGACGACTAGACAACGGTACTTATTAGTGTACGTTTTTCAGAATTGGTACGAGCCATTGCCTGGTTGGACAACATCTGGGCAAAGAGTTCAACAATGCACCGAGGACAACCCCCCTTTGGTAAGCGAAACGAAAATTAGTAAGCTTCAAATAAGAAAAAAATGGACTTTAATTCAAATGAACGATCCACGAAACAAAAGAGCCACTACTTTCCTTTTAATTCAAACCAACCTGTTAGAAAGCAACTCCAATTCAAGACACTTATTGACTCATGCTGATCAAGTGTAAATAGAGTGATAAGTTTATTTAAATTTACTTCTACGGCTTCGAAGAGTCACTCAGCTACAAATAAAACCAGAAATTGTTTTATCAAGAGGGAGGTGAGGTGTGATAATAAATAAAACAAATAATTCAGAGTAAAAATATCATTTTCGGAATTGGATACGACGACGAAGAAATGAACCTTGTAATCTGTATAACAACTAAAATAATTTATTCTAATGAAAATGCAGCAAAGCAGGCCGTTTTCTTGCGCAAAATATCAGCTTACTTACTTTTCTCTAATTTCATCTTTTGTAGGAACAAGATAACGATAACCATCTTGATAATTATATAGCATTTTTTATATTTATTATACTTTTTTTCCTGTTTAATTTTTTTCCTACTTGTCAAAGAATTTTCTAACTTTGAAATAAAATTCCATTTACTGGTATGTTCATATTCGTGCATCATTTTGGCGGAACAAATAAATAATTGTAAAAGCTATCATGCTTTGTCTTCACATGGATGTCTAATCCACCAGAGTGCTCTTGCGAAGTTAAGTGATACCGTA